TTTGGTACTGGGGATCGAACTCACAACTGAATGCTTCTGGGGCAGACAGTTATGCCACTGAGCTAAGTCCCCAGCCCTTATGTGAATCTTGCACCTCATGGTTTTTATCCTGTAACACTTTAAGTGAGCTTGGTGATTCTTGAGTACCTGGAAGGTTGTTTCCCTTCCTTCCTTCCTTCCTTCCTTCCTTCCTTCCTTCCTTCCTTCCTTCCTTCCTTCCTTTCTTCCTTCCTTCCTTCCTTTGTTCCCTGGAAGAAGCCCTAACAGTGCCTGAGCCATAAGTTTGTGAGAATGGAAAAGAAAAAAAAAAAGATGGAAAAAAATAAAAAAGAAAGGAAGTTGGAGTCAGACAAACCCCCTAAAAGGATCCTTGAATGCATCAGCCTCAGGAGCTGCCGTGGAGACCGGCGGACTGTGAGAGGCCTTGGGGGGCACCCACAGCCCCGCACAGCTGGGGACCTTGTATGAAGGCTGCGTGCGAGGGGTCCGAGAGCCCTTCCGGTCACTGTGAAGAGGTCCCCCTGGAGGACTGAGTTACGATGATGGTGCTGCTGGTGGGCACAGTTCCTGATGCAGGAGCAGTAAGCACTGTGCAGGAAAAGGAGGCTGATTTGAGAGCTCCAGGGTTAAATCTGGCTGCGATGTGTCCCCAAGGCAAATGGGAAAGGACAGAGGACAACAAACTCTCAGTGAAGCCCAACCAGACATGTGGTGTCCCCACAAGGAATCCCGTAAAGGTGATGGTCTCCGAGCTGATGTGCTGAGCTCTGATCTGTGGTGTGCCCCAGAAAGCCGGGTCTCTCACTCTGGTTTCAGTTTGAAGACATGGGTGCTTGGTGCTGTGACTTCTAAGTGGTCAGATTTCCAACCAATCAGATTTCCAGTTGATCAGAGTCATGGAGGAAGAGACTCATGAACTTACCCTGAGCACTGAGCAGCCACCAGGGCAGGAGACCCACCGTCCTGGAGAGATGGAGGCCTGGGCGCTTGTGCACCTCCTGGACCAGGAAGTTCAGCTAAGACAGGACAAAGGAAGGCCGATTGCCCACTATGTGCAGGGAGGGATCCCAAGTACACACAGGTTCGCTCTGGGGGAGGAGGGTGCCTTCTCACCTGCGCTGCAGGCTAAGACTGCATGGGTCCCGCAGGGAGAGCAAGTGGCCCCTTCCCAGGACAGAGCACAGTGCACAGCCGCCTTGGGTCCCACTGGAGAGCTGCCTGGCTCTGTCCAGAGGGTGGACACAGGAACTAAGGCTTTCTGCAAGCGGCACAAAGGGGCTCCTTAGCCAGCACCTAACCCGAGACCAGCACCCCAGCCTACGGACAGTGGCTCTCAGGGTCACAGTGCAGTGACTTCAGGTCTCCGGGGAGCAGCCCTAGCCGGGGTCCCTCATTTGTCCCAGCTGGGTCTAGCAACCACCCACAATCATGGGAGTGGAGAGAGGGCACGGCAGCCAAGGAGCTTACTCCATCCTCCAGAGGGACACTGGACACCAGGTGGGAGCGAGAGGTGAGGGCCGGAAGTGCAGCTGGACAGACAGGAAGTGTGCAGTGACAGGGCTGGCTCAGGTGCGCTGTCCCTGGATGGTGGTGGCTAGTTCCAAGACAGTCTTGTTCTCAGGGTGAGATGCTGGGGTTTCTGAGGGCTGGAGGTCAGGGAAGAAGGGTCCAGATTCCCCATGGGATTAGCTAAAGGTGTCTTTTCCCTGCACATTCAGGGGCTCTTCCCGGAGCACCATATTGGGTGTATGATGAGGTGTTTGCAGCTGACAAGGCCACTTCCTCAGGCCTCCAGTTTAAATAAAAAGGTGGTAAGGAGCTCCACACACATCCTTTAGGGAAGCTGAGTTAGGGCTCAAGGGGAAGTGAATGGGCCTGTTACAGCAAAAGATTTGTTGCTGGCTTAGACCCCTTACTGCGAGCAGGATGTCTTTAGCCAGCGCTCTTTTGTTAAAGGTTTTCTTTTTTCTTTTTTGCCAGTGGGGGAACACTACATAAAATTTCAAAGCGATCGCCAAAATCCGTGTGGTCATGGAAGGTTGCTCAGGCTGTGCACTGCGTGATGTGAGAAGGCTTCTTCACGTGTAGACATCAATGATCCTAAGAGAAGAACAAGCTCCTGATGTGCAGCTTGGCTTGGTGCTGCCTAGAAGAATGAAAAGCAGGAGGAGAGACCAAGGACAGGCCAGAGGCAGGGCGCCACCAGGAAAGTGCAGCGGGTGAAGAGGACGCAGAAGGGGCTGTGCGTGTCTCACAGCAGCCCTGGCTCTCCAGCCTCTCTCCTGCTTCCCAGCTGGGCTTGCCCCCTGACTGCAGCCAGGACCAAGGCCACAGGAAACCAGCTCAGGGCCCTCCCGGCAGGAGAGTAAGGGCCTGGTGGATGGACACGAGAGGGGCCACCACAGGAAAGACGTGGACGATGTGGTCAGGGCTCTGCCTGAGACGGGATCTGGACGGGTGTTCATCTCTGGCCACCAGGGTCCTCCTGCATTTACCCTCACGGGTGGGCAGGTGTGAGGCCGAGATGGACACTGTGCTCCCAGACCAGCAGAGCTAAAGTCAATTAACTCCCTGCTTCTTCTCATTCCTAATTCTGGTTTTGTAGGTTGACTCCTGCTAATGATTCCTGAAGGGCAGAATGTCATCCTGTTAGTGTATTCACATGCTAATAGGAACCTCGGGGCTCTAACAGGGGAAATCAAGCCTCAGAGGAGCGGCCCTGGGAAGGGTCCTTGGGAACCCTGGGCCTTTTGATTTGATTGTGTGGGGCTCCTTGGAGACTGTCCTAGGGCCAGCTCTGCATGCAGACTCCCAGGGGGTCATGGACCTCACTGCCCTGCCCAGCCACCGAGAAGACCTTGGTTGATCCCACAAGGGAGGCTGTGGCAACCTGGCTTTCACCCTTGTGATGAGGCAGGAGATGCGGGTGTGGCCGACTGAGAGGGCAAGTTCCTGGCAGCCAGCACACAGGTAGAGCGGTTTCCAAGCCCTGCCCCTGGGCCAATCAGAATGAGCCGTCTTCAACTTTTCTGGCATGAAACTAAGCAGGATTTTGATAGGATGGCCTGGCTCTGACGTCATCCAGAGGTACAGAGGCTGGATCTTGTGACCACCTGAATTCTTTCTCTTGGCCAGGTTCGCTCTGCAGGGCTACTCCTTTCCCCCACCGTTAATAAATGTAAAATCTCACTGCCTGTGTCACGCGTGTAGTCCAGCTCTTTGTCCAGGACTCCAAGGCCCAGAAGGAGTCTATAAAACCTCAGACTCAAGGCAGCAGGAGAGGAAGGGGCCCCACTCTGATTCATGGGGGGCTCAAGCTGGAGCAGGCCTTGCCCCACAGAGGGGTTTGCCTGCAGGAATCCACACAGGCAGTGACTGGAACTGAGGTCAGATAGAGGAAATAAGAGAGGAGAAAGAAGCCAGGGAAATCCATTTTATGTTCTCCTTTCTTGGCTAAAGTCTGGGTTGAGCCTGCTCAGCTCTGCCCCGGGCCTGCTGAGTGCTTACCCCGCATCTGTTTTCTGAGAGTGATCAGCCCCAGAGTCACCAGCACGTGTCTTACCTTCAAGACAGAGGTCACCAAGATGAAAGTAACTGAAGTCAGGGTTTGCAGAGGTGCCCCATCCTGCCCCGGTCAGGCCCAGGCTGCACAGCCACCTTGCTCTGACTTTTGCTCTCGGGACTGGTTCTCCAGCCCACACAGTGCCCTTGGCCCTGCACTCCTCTGTCCCTCACTCGGACCCTGTCACCTCTGCAGCTTCACCGGGCTGCTGCCCCAACCGCCACTCGGCCCCCTGCAGCGAGCAGAGCCGGCTGCAATGCCCCAGACTCTCATGCACCCACATCTGTGCTTGCACCTTTCCTGCCTCAGCTGGAAGCTCAGCGCCTGGGTAAGCAGCTCCCGGCTCCCGGAGCCAGGGTCCTCGGCCTCTGCCTGGGTTTCCTGTTTCCCTGTTCTGGCACTGTTGCCCTACAGGGGACCGAGCCCTAGTGTGCCTTCTGGTCAGGAGCAGAGGATCTGCCTGACAGCTGCTGGGCAGACAGGACAGGCACCTGCTCCTGGCTGGTCAGAGGTGGTGGCTGGGATGGGTACACTGGGGGCACGAGGAGCCTGCTGAGATGGGCACCCCAGGAGCAGTGTGTGCCAGGCATTCAGTGGTGAGTGTCCCTGTGCAGCTGTTGCCAAGGCCGGGAGTGTGGGGAGTTTGGCAGTGACCTCTGTCGGTGACGCTGTGTCTGGGGGCCCGTCCGCAGCCCCTGGATGTCTGTGTCTGTCCCTGTGTGTGGGGCACCGTGCTGTAACTGTGTGGAGCCTCTTGTGATATGACCAGTTGTCCCTGATGCAGCATGGCTATTGGGGCTCCCTGCAGAGTCTGAGTTCTCACCCTCTTCCGGCCAGAGCAAGGACTACACCTAGATCTAAGGGCTAGCAGTGTGGGTGGTTTGCCAGGCTCCCATCATTTTTGGGGAGATTTTATGTTCTCCTGATCACACCAGTACATACACTTGTACATACACAGCTGGCGTGAGACTCCCAGGAAAATAAAACTCAGCCACGCCTTCCCAGGACGGCAAAAATCAGAGGAAGCCATGCTCCTCCTCCCCATATCCCCAGGCTCCGGGCCTGGATCGTGTCCAGAGGCTTTCAGGGTGAGTGATACACCTGCCTCATCTCAGTTCCAGTCTGGGGCTTCCCTCCACGGGCTTCTTCAGGCTGTGCTCCAAGCCAGGGTTCCCAGGAAAAGCCGCCATCTCTGCTGAGTGTTCGGGATGTGGGCACACCTTGCCCAGAGCGTTACACGCCTGTGCATGACTTCGGCTAATCCTCGTCACAGCTCTGCTGGGAGTCTGCTGCCTGTGAGTGAGGGGACAGGTTGGCCTGACCTCCTATAAGGCTGCTGTCCCTTCTTTTCCTCCAGGGCCAGGCTGTCCAAGGAGGGGGCTCCGGCACCTGACCAGACATTGTGTGAGTGAGGCTGGTGCGCACCGCTCACAGGGGGCCTCCCCCTCGGTGGATGGTGGGGTCCTTCCAGCCGGCGGGTGTGAAGACAGCTGGAGCTGGTCCGAGGCCAGGATGCCCTGAGCTGGGCGTGCACAGCGCCTGCCGGGGCTGGCTGACTTCTGAAGTAGGACAGGAGAGAGGACGCCATGCCACAGTGCACCTGCGCCCCTCATCCCTGCGTGGCAGACTCAACTCGCGGGTGCGGAAGTAGGTCGCAGAAATGGGGACAGCCTCGCTCACACGGAGCCCTGTACGCTCACTGAGTCACCGGCAGCCGGCAGCCAGGTCTCTCGGAGCAGTCCGTGTGCAGTTTCAGGACGCCAGGGACCCCAGGAAAACCCAGCCTCGGCAGAGGACAGCGAGGGGCACTGGACGGGCTGCTGGCTGCTACTCCAAGGGAAGTGGACACTTGGCTGTGACCACGCCTGGGCGGGCGAGGGCTCAGAAACCCGACTGTGCTCACTCAAGACAACTGACTTTGGAGCCACAGACTACGGGATATCAGCTGGGAAGCTGTGCCTTTCTTTCACCAGGGCCCAGAAATGCTCCCTGGCCAGGTGGGAGAGCCAGGGCCAAGGCATAGAGGGTGTGGCCTCCCCTGACAGTTCTGCAGATCTGGTGTCCTGCGGTGGACGGAGGTGGGGGGGAAGGAGGTGCAAACACAAGATGGGAAACGCAGTGGGAGACCCTTATTTGAGCCTCAGTGCAGGTGAGAGTTGGCCGAGGTTCCATGGTGTGGAACACGGGAATGCAAGGAGAATCTGGGGTAACTCAGGGGAGCCAGCTTCCGCTCCGGGTGTAATGCCTACACCAGAAGTAAGGCTTTCCCGGCTCACGCCCCAGACTCCCCAGGTGTCCTGAAGGGGGTGCCCCAGAGGGGCTGGCAGGGTCAGCACCCTGCCAAAGCAACCTGGACTAACAGGGGCCAAGGGACCAGGGGACTTCAGCTTCCCTACGTGCAGTGAAGGAAGTCACAGGGTGACAGGTGGATCCTCTCGGGTTCAAAGATGCAACCCTAACTCCAGCAGAGGGGCAGACATCAGGCCTCCCGCAGGTGCCAGGGGTACTGGGGATTGCAGCTGCTAGGCACAAACTCAAGGGGCGCTGGAAACCAGACAGAGGCACCTCCTGCCCGCTGTTTCCTCCAGGAGGCAGGACGTGGAGTGCTTCTGACAGCCTGGGTTACTGACCAAGTTCTCCAACTCACGCCATGTGGTCTTGGATGAGCAACTCCCGGCCTCCTCTGTAAGGTAGGGGTGATGGCGGTTATGTTGTGGTCAGATGAGTTCAGACAGGGGGGCATGGACTCGGTGCCCAGCCAAGTGTGTGTGTGTGTGTGTGTGTGTGTGTGTGTGTGAGAGAGAGAGAGAGAGAGAGAGAGAGAGAGAGAGAGAGAGAGATTAGATTCTGGGGTGAATATTTGTTTAGAATGAGAAAAAGTTGCAATGTTTCCAAAGTCTTATAAAGCCAGTGAGTGCAAGCATTTTCTGTTGGCTTATGTCATGGGTTTCTGGTTTCCATCAGGATAATTTGCCCCCTCATATTTGAATTTTGCAGTGATCCATAATTCTGAAAGAATTCAAGAAACTAATCAGAAATGGATGCATTTTGCAGTGACGACTCCGTCCTGAGCTGCAGCTCTCCGTAATTAAGTTATTCCCACACAGATTAAGCCCTGGGTGACTGGGTGTAGTTTTGTCGTTGAAGTGTGTATTTCCCCAGGCTGCTTCCTGGGGAGGCTGGGAACACGTGACCATTTCAGCTGGGGCTTAGGACAAGAGCTCCAACCCCGAAGTCTGATCAGAATTCTGATCCCTTCTGAGCCAAGGCAGCCCAGGCAGGGGTGGCAGAGGTGAGCTCACTGCAGGTTTGTGTCCAGCCAGAGCAGCTCGGGGCAGTATGCAGGGGGACAGGAAAGTGAATCTGTCATTGTTCACAGCCCTGCTGAGCACCCTCCATGGGTGCTCCGGCTGTGGTCACCGTGGTGACTGTTGGCATTGCAGTTGTGGCACACAGAGTTGTGGGGGCTCTTGTGTTGGTTGACTGTGTCATCTTGCTTGCTGCCGATAATGGCAGGTGTTTGCAGTTGATGTCATGGTGACCATTATGAGGGTGGTTTCTCTTGTGCTCGCTGCCAACGATGTTACAGTGGTTGAGCCTGGGGCAGGGGTTGCTGAGGTCATAGTTGGGGTTGATGTGCGGTGGGATCTTGGTGAATGATGGCACGGTTGCTGCTGTTGATGTCCCCATGCTTGTGGTCATGATGGGAGTTAATATTGTGAAAATGGTGCCTGCTATTGTAGTTGACTTGTGGTTGTGGTTGTGGTTATGGTGATTTCTGGTGTCTGGTGTCTGGTGCTTGGTGTTGATTGTTGATGACGTCATAGATGGCACTGATGATGTCATTGCTGATGTGGGCAGGACCGCAGCTGTGAACACTGGTGGGTTGTGGGTTGCTCTGTGGTTGTAGCTGACACCGTTACTGTGGTTGTGGTTGAGGCAGTGACTGCTGACGCTGTAGCTCTCATGAGGGTCCCTGTCTTTGGGTGGTGACTGTCGAGATACTGTGGCTGTGGTGGCTGCTGGCATTTGCACGCTGCCCATGTGGCCCCCGTCTAGGGGAGCGCCACTCCTTGCCTTGGCTTGTTGGTAGACAAGTGAATTAAGACAAGGACTGCAGGTCTGGAGCACCTGCTGCCATCAAGTGCTGGGTCCCTGTCATTCCCAGGGACTCCGTTAGAGACAATAACCCCGTGAGAATATTCCAACCCAGACAATTTAAATAATTCTTCCAGTAGAAATTCCAGGAGATGCTATCAAAAATATTATGAGTAAGTATACAGCACCAACTGTGTCTAATCATCTTTTCTTTCCTTAGCCCTGTTGGGAGGAGACAAGCTACGAAGACCCTCTGGCCTGGTCTGTCCAGTGAGTCCTCCCTTCTTTCCGCGTGGGATTCTGGGATCTTCCCTTTCCTCTGCTAAGTTTTTCATTGTTATTTATTTATTTGAAAAGTTTCTGTGGAGTGACTTCTGAAAGCAGGTTTGCTCTCAGCTTACAAGGGGCCAGAGCTCTGTCCAAGAGAGCTCTCTGATCCAGCCAGCTGATGTGTGGCGCTGGGCTCAGCCCTGGGGAGACTGTGGGGGTGACAGCCTGGCCGGCCTGCACTCCCTTCCGGCTGCCACCTCCTGTCCTCGGGCTGGAAGGAATTGCTGAGTCTCAGCTTCTTCACTGAAGACTTGGGGACAATGACAGGGTGGCCTGAGACTGCAGGAGGCTGCACCCAAAGCTGGACACGAGAGACTTGTCCTGACCCCGGCGCAGTCTCCCCTGGGGTGGTGAGTTGGAGCAGCGGCCTCTCCAAGCACAGGTGCCGGCAGCCTCCCTCTCCCTGTCCCTCGGAACATCCTTGCCAGGCCGGCACCCAGGCGGGGTGTCCTCTGGGACATGAACAGCTCCTTCCTGAGGTTCCATGTGTGACCCCAGCCTTCCCTGCACAACCCCGAAACAAGCTAACAAGCCACACTTCTGGTAACTACAGTAATGACAATCCTGCCCCCAAAGGGCCTTTCTCCAGGGGGAGATGGGACAGGGGTGGAGGAGCGGGCCATGCAGAAGGCAAGCGAAGAGCCCCAGGTTTGTGAGCTAGTAGGGACCTCACCTTAGTCACAGCAGGAGGGCAAACCTTGCACAAGGCCCTGTGAGAGGCAGCGGTCTCCTCCTCAAAACGGTCCCCGGAGGAGGGTGCAGCTGTCCCCTGCCGACTCTGCCTAGGGCCGGCTTTATTTATTCTCTCCTTTTCAGAACCCGGAGGCTGGCGCATCCCTCCTTGTTCTGGATGAGGGACAGACCCAAGGCTGGAAGGCTGAGTGATTTCCTAGGGAAGCTGCCCCTGAGTCCATGCTCTGCTGGACACAAGGGATACTCAGTGTCCCCAGCTCTACCTAGCTGGGTGAGAGCTGGAGGGTCCCCAACCTGACCTGGCCCAAAGTCCAGGTGGCCTTGCTCCAGAGCTCGGTCCCTATGGGTGGATAACCACACAGTCTCTAGGGTTGGTTTTCCAGTCCTGTCCTTGATGTCATCCAGCTATGTGCAGGGACCAGGGTGTAAATGCTCTGGGCCCCTGAGCACCCATCTCACAGATCGGGAACTGTGGGTACCTCGGTGCTGAGCGCCTTGGGGATGTGGCCATGAGCAGCATGCTGTGGGTCACCCAGTCTTCTCTTGGGCCCCATGGAAGCTGTGACAACGCGAGTTTGCTCTGAGGCAGCTCGTGGACAAGGCCACCTCGACCTGACCGGCTGTGCCCAGCAGCTGGGGCAGCCAAGGCTCGGGCTCCCCAGGCGCTCACCTGGGGCTCCTGCTGCATGAGCGCCGTCTCCAGGTAATTTGTTGTAATCAGCCGGCTCTGCTGTGGTCCCCTGCTGCAGAGCTTTGAAATACACAAAACTCACTTAAGGCAAAGGGATGATAACGGCCCAGCGCAGGAGAAAACCAGCTCCTTCAGAGTCCGATCGGTCTTCATCAGAAGCAGCCCATTAAGGCAAGCGCGTGCCTGGCCCCATGCAGGGCATTTGCATATTTTCTAAGTTCTTAACAGAGAAAAATCTGAAGGTGTCAGGATGGAGAACTCAGGACCGCTCTTATTCCCCGCAAGATAAACGAGCAGAGTCATCTTTAATGAAGGGAGAGGTGAAGTGGGGGAAGATGCCTTTGGTGCTGAGCCACTCCGTCCCCTCCCACAAGCCAGGAGCGGTTGGCCAGCAAGCAGGAGAGACAGAGGGAGATGGGGGTCAGCCAGAGGTGTGCATGTGGCTCCTTCTTTGCCTTCATTCTTTTTTTTTTTTTTTTTTTTTTTTTTTTTTGGTACCAGGGACTAAACTCAGGATCTTGTACATGCCAGGCAGGTGCTTGTGCCACTGAGCTAAATCCCCTTTGCCTTTCAAACTCTGCTGCTTCTTGTGTCCTGGACTTAGGCATGTGGGGGTTGGCAGCTGACCTGGTGCTGATTCGACAGTACGGTGGCCCCTGCCCTCTGCCAAGGAGCACCGAGGTCCCCCAGCCAGCCCTGCTCCAGCTCTGCCTTGGAAATCAATGGGACCCCCGCAGGCCACTGGGCTGTTGGTGGGGAGCAGAGGGCTCCCTGTTGCAGAGCTCCGAGTGAGCTTTGCAGAAGTTCCCAGAGTTGGAGGCAAGATGCACAGAGCCAGGACTGTGCCTCCTCATCCCAGGACTGAGCTGGGACACCCTGGGGTGAGGTCTGCAGTGAGGAAGGTGCGGCAGGGACAGAGACCTGTCACACAGCACTTGGGAGTGGTCCCCACCCTCCTGCAGCTGCCCTGGCTCACAGTTCCTGCTGCTTCCCTTCCACAGGCCGCCCTGGCTGTGCTGGCTGTGCTGGCTGTGCTGGCCACCAGAAGATGATCCTTACAAAGAAACCACTTCCTTTGGTTGTTTTTAAGCCCAGGTGAGGCTTCCCAGCCGGCAGCATCTGAGCTTGGCTTGGAGATTCCCAGCCATGGGCTCCCAGGGGCCTCTAGGAGCCATGAGTCCCCCAGCTGTTGGCCAGCAAGAAAGCGGGGACCCCCAGCTCTGCACAACAAAGAGCCGGTTCATTCAACATAGTGAGCTCTGGAAAGGGATGTGGCCCGTCAGACAGCTGACAGCAGCTGGGCAGCTCCCGGGGCACAGCCAGCTCGGCCACGCTCTGACCCTTCTCCTACAGACGGGGAGGTGGAGTGGGTCCCCTGCACTGTGGGCAGCTGTGCGGGCAGCACAGAGGAGCCAGAGCTGGTGACTGATGAGGGTGGGCTCTGTGTCCATTCACCTAGCGCTACCACTGCTGTCCCCACTTTGCCAAGCGCGTCAGACTTTCGTGGCATGCATCTCGTCTGCAGGAGCACCTCCTTTCCTGCTCACGTCCAGCTGTGGAGTCCTCTCCTCCCTGCTCTGCCCCTGGAGACTGTGTTAGGATGGGGTGGAGCCCTGGCCACCCTGGTGCCAGCCCAGGCTCCTGCAGTGTGGTGCAAACCTTGAGACAGGATGAGTTTGTGAGCTTACTGATGTCTTGTGCATCTCAGTAGCCTCGTCACCCGTGGCCTGCGGTGTGGAGAAGGAGAAGCGCTCACCCGCAGTGGGAAGCCTAATGGAACCCCAGACAAAGACAGCTGGACACTCATCGAGCCATGCCTGAAGCCGCTCACCTCTAGATTTTCCTTACTGTGATACGTCCAAGCAGAGGTTTCACCCTTGGCAACCCAAAGTCCCCCCAGTGAACTCTGTAGGAAGGGCAGCTGTGATTCCCTTTCACAGCTGAGCACTGGTGTTTCAAATCACAGAAGAGGCTGTCCTTGGTGGGCCTGACCTAATCAAGTGACCCCACAAAGGAGATGCAAAGCAGTGGGTCCCCTCCTGCTGTCCTAGAAGGAAGCACACTGCCCTACAGTGTGGGGACACCAGGCAGAGCGTGGGCCAGCCCCAGAGCTGAGGGCTTCAGGCCTACAGGACGGCTGCCTGCCACTGAGTTCAGCCCTAGAGGAGATGGGATCCCTGCGACAGCTTCAGCTGAGACCCTGAGCAGAGAGCTTACTGGAACCCAGAATCCCGGCTCAGAAGAGATGAAGTGACTGATCATGTGAGGCTCCTGAGACCTGGTAATGTCTCCCTCAGAACAGAAGAACTCAGTATGGAGGAACTCATCTCTCCACAGACCAGGTCAGGGCCAAAGATTAAAGTACCCAGATCCGTATATCCAACCTATCTTTATCTATACTTCTATCTCTCTCTCCACTCTCCACCTCTCCATCCATCTTCCCATTCACCCATCCATCCATCTTCCATCAGTTCATCCATTTATCTTTTCATCTACCCATCCACTTCTCCGTAGGTCTCTCCATCCATCATCCATCTCTCCATCCATCCATGTCTCCACACATCCATCCATTTTCCATCCATCTATCCATCTATCCATCCGCCCATCCATCCATCCATTAGTCCATCCATCATCTGACACCCAGCATAATATCCCTTTTGATTAAATCAAGCTAAGTGACTTGGGACCTTCATTGTCCTGTCAAGGTTCTTACTCTTCAGCGTCTGGCATGACCCTGTCATGGGTGTGGCCTCCTGTTGCAGTCTTCTGAAGTGTGATTTCACTTGTGTATCCGGACCAACCACAGCACGTTAGCCCCAATGTTTGCCTTTCACCTAGTTGACTGAGTCTCCTCATCCTTCACAGTCAAGGTTACCAACCCTTGAGTCAGGAACCTTGGTCAGTGTGGCCGAGCCAGATGCTATGCCTGTGCCCCTTCACTATGACCATTTTACAAACACAAGCTGCAATCTTGGTGTCTTGGTTACTTTTCTCTCATTGCTGAAACAAAATACCCAACACTCAAATGAAGAAAGGAAAGGTTTATTTAGCTCACTGCTTGTGGAGGTTTCAGTCCATAATCAGCTGGCTCCAAGGCAGGGTGATGAGGCACAGGGCCAACAGATCAAGACCGCAGCCAGAGCAAAAATGCAGAGAACAAGCCTCTTTTCCCTAATATTGTAAGCAGGGTGCCCCCTCCACCAAGGCGGGTGTAGCCCTCACAAAATCTCTGTGCCCTCCTCTTGCACAGGCTGAGGATGTTTACAAAGTAAGAATCCTGGATCCCTGCTGAGTCTCTTAGTGAAATTTCTAAACTTCTCATGTTGACACAATGTATCAACCAGAACCTTCTTGGTAGTGGGATTTAGACCTAGCTGAGGCATCTTTGGTGCCTCTGTGCCTTGTTAAAATTCCATCAGCTCCTTTTTTAAGTACACAATGTCTGTGTCCACCGTGGGGAGCTGCTACAGGCAGAGGACACATCCGAATTGTGTCTTTCCGTCTCCTGCCCTATCTCCTGGTTTCCTGCTCCCCACCACTGCTGCCTCCCCAAGCAGGGGGAAAGATTCACTATAAGGATTAAAACTGACCCTGGGTCCAAAGTGCCCAGAACTCGGTGGGCACAGGTGGCTCCTACTCCCCCGTGTTAGCATTTGTGTTATTGTAATCGGAGCTCACACGGCCTGTGGGGACTGGACCCCTTCCTCCTGGGTGCTGAGGAGGGGGGAGGTGACACCGTCACAGCTGGCGCACCAGGCTGGGAGGCAGCGTCTGCCTGGACCCTAAACCCTCGCTGCTTTGTCCTCCCGTTTCTGTCCCTTCCATCACCGAGGGACCTGCCCACTGTAGTTCAGTGTGTCCGCGCCGCTCAAGTTGTGTCTAATTAGCTAGGCCTAATTGATATTAAGATAAATAACTTCAAATTACTTTTCCCTGTGAAATTGAGACTTGTTGGAGGGCAACCATCTCTAATTTAACTCAGTGAATGAAAACAAATGTGATTTAGTGGTTTCTGAAAGGAGAGGGTGATTTTAATGTGTCATCAGCCCATCCCTGGTGACAGTGGGCTGCAAATTCCACCACACATTAATCAGCTGAGGATGGGACAGCCAGGGACAGCACACGGCGTGGGCTCACCGGCCACAGAGAGGACCTGAGGGCCGTGACAGTGGGCTTCCAGACCCTGCACGAGACTCCCCGCTGCTGGCCCTCATTGCCTTTGGCTGCGGGCTGGAAAGGCTGGTCTTGGAGCTCGGCGCCCGGGGTCTATAAAAAGCACGTCCACATTTATTTTTGCCACCTGCTCGCCATCCACGCCGCCTCTTTTCTGGCTTCAGACTCCCACTAGCATCCAAGTCTGAGGTTCAAAATGCATCAAAGTAACTCCCCCGCCCACCCTCGGGCTGCACAGCCATGCGGGAGTGACGGGCTGCCATGCTGCCCCGGGTGTGGCCCACAGGTGACACCCAGGCAAAGGCTAGCACTGACCCCAGGGGGCCTCAGGGGGAGGGTCGCATTCGACTTCAGGTGGAAAGGTACCCCGGGAACTAAGCCGGCTTGATGTTGTTTTCAGCTTCTGTCTTGATTTTTTTTTAAATACCAACTTTATCTTTAGATTTCACATTCTATGTAAGTTGTGAAAAATGAGTGAATTCTGAATTAGTTATGATTCTTTCTATGGAAAGTGACAAAACTTGACACAAACTGTCTTGGGCAAAAATAGGAATTTATTGGCTCACACAAGTGAAAATCCTGGAATGAATTCAGCTTAAGGCAGAGTTATAACCAAGAGAGCAAACACAGTTCTCAGCACCCCGGGCGCAGGGCTCCCTCTGCCAGCTCCAGCTGCGCGCTGGCTCTGCCCCCTCACCCGCCTGCCTGTGCGGTGGCAGGTGGCTGGGGCGCCCCGGGCACACAGGCTTCGGGGCCGTGGGGGCTGAGAAGGACACAAAGGACTTTTCTGGAATCCTGGCGTGGTTCAGCAGGCTGGGGGTCCACTCTGGTGTGTGGAATCAGGGCCTCAACAGGGTTTCTGCTTCACACCCAGCTCTGTTCCTGGCAAGTTATTAGCCTCTCTAGTCCTCACGGGGAGAAGGGACTGGTCCTGATTCCCGAGGCACACCGTGAACCATCCACTGTGGGCAGACAGGTGCAGAGAGCACAGTGTCATAGGCTGCCCTGTGCCAGCCCCTGGCCCAGACAGGCACAGGGCTGTCACAGCTGAGCTCCAGGCTCACATTGGGACAGAGAGAGGGGTTGGGGGGACAGTGCCTCACTCAACTCATACCATCCGCAGGGCCCATCCTCATGACCCTGCCATCCTAACGTGGGCAGGATGCATCCCCTGCCTCTGGGGGCCCAGAGCGGGCTTGCTGCAGGCCACCCTGACTCCAAAGTTCCCGGGTTGTGTGGATTTGTTTCTTGTGGCCTCAGCAGGGGTGGAAATGTGGGGCTTGCTCAAGAACAGAGCTGTCCAGCTGGGGCCTGGAGACCACACTCAGCACTGAGCGCCTCAGTACAAACTCAGCCCCAGCTCCCGGCTCTCCTGCTCACGGGCGCTGCTGAGTGGCCATCTCGGGAGTGGTGGTCCCTGCAGGGATCCACGCAGAGAAGAGCCCGCACCACCTACGTTCCATCACAGGGCTCCCCCTGCTCCTCAAGGAGCTTCCTGGGCCCACCCTGACCCTGGCCTGGGTGCAGCTCCTGGGATTTGACCTTGGTGACTGCACAGGGGGTCAGGATGGAAGGGAGGGCACGGACTGTGACCTGGAACGTGGGCCTGGGGGATGGATGGTGACACGGCCTCAGCTTTCTCACCTGGGGACCAGGAACGCTCAGGTGAAAAGAGGCCAAGCACATGCACCAGTGGCCTGGCAGACAGCAGGAGGCTGCTGGCTTCATGGAGGCTCTAGCTCCTGACCTGTCCGTTCAGCCACTCATCCATTCATTCATTCACGCCTTCGTCGTTCACACATGCGTTCATCCACATATCCATTTACGCGTTCATTCACGCGTCCATCACGAATTCATTTGCTCATCCATTCACGCATTCATTTGCTCACGCATCTTGCAATCAATCACCCAATCGTCCATCCATTCATCACACATTCATCGTTCCCTCACCCATGTATTCACTCACGCATCTATTCGGTCATGCATTCATTCAGGACGACAGGGTGTCTTCCTGGGGGCTTGGCATTTGCAGAAGACATATCTACTTCCATTAGTCCTCCAGCCACAGCAAACCAATGGGGAGCTCTTGATTCTGAGCTTTATTTTCCAATAACTTTGAAATCTGTGACCCTCGAGAGCTTTAAGTATGAAGAAGAGATGTTAATAAAAGCCTCCAAATTAGGCCAGACTACAAAAGAAGAAAGCACGCTTTTCTTGATTTTCTAAGTGCTATTCTGATACCCTTGTGGCAGAGGGATGGTAACCCCAATGCAACTCCAAACCCGGTTACCTGGCCCAGGACCTGCCAGCTCCCTCTGAACAAAGATGCCCGCTGCTCCAGCCTGAGCCTGCAGGGTAACTCTTCAGTCAAGACTGTCCAGCTAGGCAGGCAGCATCAGCTTCCTGGATGGCCCCTGCCTAGTCACAGAGTATCCTGGGTGAGTTGGTATAGACACCTGCTTCCTCACTATAAAGCAGGGTCAAGCGGGATCACCCCTTGGAGCTCTTGTGTGACCAGGGCCTGGCAAACGCCCCATCCTGTGGACCTGAGAGATGCCCGAGTGGGCAGCTCCCCAGAGCCCACCCGCCCCCTCCTCTGCCTGCCCTTCCTGGGCAGGTTTCCAGATCAGCTTAGACTGTGAGCGTGAAAGACCCTGCTAGACCCCGGGCTCACATTTCTCCCTGTTATTACATTCATTTGACGCTTGCTGAATAGCTGGTCCTCTTCCAGCCACAGCCAGACACGGGACAGTTGTGCAGTCTTGTTTCCCCATGCACACGTTCCTTGACAGCTGCCCTGTTGTCCAATCTTCATTTCTCCATAAAAGGAAAAAAAAGCCTCATTCAAAGCGTGGTTCCAACACGTTGCAAATATTCTCAGCATAATAGCTGGGCCTGAGAAGCAGAATCTGTGTGTGAGTGTGTGTGAGTGTGAGTGTGTCCTGGTGAACTGGAGTTATGCAAAGGTGGTATCAGTTCGCAGCTCATTACACCAGGCACATTAAACATTATGAGACAAAACCTCCTGCAGGAGCCCGTTGGGAAGAACCAGCAAGCCATGGCTGGTTCAGGCCAGATGCCTCCCCAGCCCCGGGCCTGGCACCGGGCGCTGGCGGAGAGCTGCGGTGCGGGGCTTGGAGTGTGGTGCTGTGCTCGGTGATCAGGCGGGTGCCCTCCCACCGGGTCACATACGCTCCTCAGATTCGGAGATGCTCACTGTGGTCTTGCTGTTGTGTCCTTGCAGCCCAAGGCACACAGATTAAAGTTCATAGCAAGGGCTGTGTGTCCTTCTTCTTCCCCAGGGCTTGGTGTCACCAGGGAACACGGCCTTCGTGAGTGAGTGATGCTAGAGAGGGAAAGTGGGCTCCTGCCGCGCTGTGGAGCCAGGAGCCCCGCGCCCCTGACTCACATGAGGTGTGCACCCCACAAGCACAGGGGAGGAGGCGGGCAGGGCTGGAACTCAAGTGGTCGTCTGGGAGAGGTTGTACCCCAGCTTGGTGTGCAGCACTGTCTGACTCA